TTACTGTATTCATTGATTAGCTCTAGTAATTTTCTGGTAGAGTCTTTAGGGTTTTCTATGTAGAGGATCATGTCATCTGCAAACAGTGAGAGTTTTACTTCTTCTTTTCCTATCTGGATTCCTTTTATTTCTTTTTCTGCTCTAATTGCTGTGGCCAACACTTCCAAAACTATGTTGAATAGTAGTGGTGAGAGTGGACACCCTAGTCTTGTTCCTGACTTTAGGGGAAATGCTTTCGATTTTTCACCATTGAGGATAACGTTTGCTGTGGGTTTGTCATATATAGATAGCTTTTATTATGTTGAGGTATATTCCTTCTATGCCTGCTTTCTGGAGAGTTTTTATCATAAATGGATGTTGAATTTTGTCAAAAGCTTTTTCTGTACCTATTGAGATAATCATATGGTTTTTATCTTTCAATTTGTTAATGTGGTGTATTATGTTGATTGATTTGTGGATATTAAAGAATACCTTGCATTCCTGGGATAAAGCCCACTTGGTCATGATATATGATCTTTTTAATATGTTGTTGGATTCTGTTTGCTAGAATTTTGTTAAGGATTTGATCTTATAGTATTTTTTTTTATCCTTATGATTAGGGAAAAGCATTTATTGCACCTCAGAGATGCATATGGTCCTCAGGAAAGTGTGCCTTGGTAGAGAGAGGGCTTGATTATGACTCAAAAGACATGAGCTTGACTAGTTCTGTTATTATATGTTGTGAAAACAATCACTTCACTCTTTGGACTTCAGTATCTAGGAGGACACATGTATTAGTTTCCTATTACTCCTCTAACAAATTTAGCAGCTTAAAAGAATACCTCTTTATTAGCTCACAGTTACGTATATCAGTTGGGACAAGGTTGTCTGCTTAGGGTCTCATCCAACTGAAATCAAGATGCTGGTATGCCACGTTCTCCAGAGCTCAAGGTTCTCCCCCAAGCTCATTCTTGTTACTCACATAATTCAGTTCTTTGCAGCTACGGGTCTGAGGTTCCCCAGTTCCCTGCTGGCTTTCAGCCAGGGGCTGCCTTCAGCTCCTGGCATAGGAATGATATATTAAGACCTTCTCATGCTTTGAATCTCTCTGCCGTCCTCTTCTGCCACCAGTCTGAGAAAGTTCTCTGCTCTTAAGAGCTCGTGTGAATTGATTAAGATAATCTCCCTGTTTTAAGGTCATCTGTGCATATAACAGACCAATCATTGTATGACAATCTCATCACATTCACAGACTCCAGAGGTTAGAGTGGGACATCTTGGGGAGCATTCCTAGAAATTCTACCTGCCTTAACATGTTAATACAGGGGATAGGCAAGATGATTGCTAAGGTTCTTACAGATTAAAACTGCCAAACTTTAATCACCTCTAATGACTCCCTGTGGTTAGTCCCCTGACTTTCCTTCATTGGGCTTCATTTCACTCCCTCCCCTGTTCTTAACCAGATACTGCCAGGTTGGAGCCTCTACTCTCTTTCTTCCATCATGCAGTCTCCCCCTTTACCTCTCTCTTTGCCCCACAAAACCAGAGTCATCTCCTTCCTCCCTTCAACTCTACTTTACACTTTGATTTTGAACCTCTATGTCGTGCCAGTATTACATTCTTTATGTCTTTTCTTCTTCCTCCAGCTAACCTGTGAGTTGGCATCATTGTCTCCATTTTGCAGAGTCAGTTCAGTCAGCTCAGTTCAGTCAGTTCAGTTCAGTCTCACAGTCGTGTCCGACTCTTTGTGGCTCCATGGACTGCAGCACGCCAGGCCTCCCTATCCATTGCCAACTCCCAGAGTTTACTCAAACTCATGTCCATTGAGTCAGTGATGCCATCCAACCATCTCATCTTCTGTTGTCCCCTTCTACTCCTGCCTTCAATCTTTCCCAGCAACAGGGTCTTTTCAAATGAGTCAGTTCTTTGCATCAGGTGGCCAAAGTATTGGAATTTCAGCTTCAGCATCAGTCCTTTCAATGAATATTCAGGACTGATTTCTTTTAGGATGGAGTGGTTGGATCTCCTTGCAGTCCAAAGGACTCTCAAGAATCTTCTCCAACACCACAGTTTAAAAGCATCAATTCTTTGGTGCTCAGCTTTCCTTATAGTCCAACTCTCACATCCATACATGACTACTAGAAAAACCATAGCTTTGACTAAATGGACCTTTGTTGGTAAAGTGATGTCTCTGCTTTTTAATATGCTGTCTAGGTTGGTCATAACTTTTCTTTCAAGGAGCAAGTGTCTTTTAATTTCATGGCTACAGTCACCATCTATAGTGAGTTTGGAGCCCAAAGAAATAAAGTCAGCCACTGTTTCCACTGTTTCCCCATCTATTTGCCATGAAGTGATGGGACCAGATGTCATGATCTTCGTTTTCTGAATGTTGAGTTTTAAGCCAGCTTTTTCACTCTCCTCTTTCACTTTCATCAAGAGGCTCTTTAGTTCTTCTTTGCTTTCTGCCATAAGGGTGGTGTCATCTGCATATCTGAGGTTACTGATATTTCTCCCAGCAATCTTGATTCCATCTTGTGCTTTATTCATAATTTTGCAGATTAGAGCACATTATTGTGCCCATTTTGAAGATTAGAGCACTGGGGTTCAGAGAAGTTAAATATCTAGTCTAAGATTAAACAGAAAGTAAGGTTAACTCCGACATCCAGTTCTTTCCAGTACCTGCCGGCATGCAGGGAAACAATCAGTTTGAGAGCGATGGAGAGGAAGAGAGAGCACAACGTTGCCCATCCCCTCAAGCTCCACCCTAAAATAAGATGGAGATGAAGTACCAGTAGTGATCTGGGCAGTTCATGGACTGCAGAGGGTGTCTAGGGCCTGTGAGTGGATGGCTGGGGGTGATGATTTTCCTGGGAACAAGAGCCACTTGGTGAAAATGCACCCATTCATTTCACTGTATGCCCCTTCGGTTGGTAAAATTTCAGTCTTTCAGCCTCAAGTGTTGGGATCTCTTTTCCTGCCTATGAGAGCATAGGTGGGTACATCCACTTTGCAGAGCAATTTGGCTACATCTAGCAAAGCTGAGAAAAGAACTGCCCCCCTCCCCCCCAGCAATTCCATGCCTGTGCCTGTATCCTGTCAGAGCTCCCTTATGAGTATTGTTTATGATTGGAAAAATAGAAGTCACCTAAGTGTTCATTAGCAGGAAATGGGCAAATGGTAATGTGCTCATCAAATGGAATACTTGGCAGCAGTTAAGCAGGAATCTGAGCTATATGTATCAACATACATGAATCTCGCTAACACAATGTACCCCAAAAATGTATAAGAGTAGATTCTTCTGATGCCACTTACATAAGGCTTTTAAATGTGTAATGTCTATTATTGGGAATCCTATGTAGTAGTTAAATATGAATAAACACAAGGAAATAATAAACACGTAATTTATATGATGGTTACATCTGAGATTGGAGGGAAGGAAATGTGATGAGAAAGAAGGACATCAGGGGCTTAAACTGTTTGGACAATGGTTTATTGCTAAAGTTAAGTGATGTTCACAATATTGTTTTTTACACCTTTTCTCTTGTGAAATACTCCATAATAATGCTTAATCTGACAAATATTACCACCAGGACCATGCTTACCACTTATAATATGAAGTGGAAAGAGCAAGAGGCAGAATTGGGTATGCATTATACTCCCAACTTTGTAAGAACAGAACAAATCAAAAGAGAAAACTTAGATTAAAAAAGAAAAAAAAAAGAAACAAGGAAACAGATAATACACCAAAACCATTAAACGTTCAAGGGTGATTTTTATTGTGTTCTTTATACATGATGACATAGTACTTTATTATAGTTTCCAAAATTTTATAGTGAGTACATATTGCATTTGAAATCAAAAACAAATATTGCCTTTTCTAAAATCTGCATTTGTTAACTCTAGATACTAGGATATTATACATTTTAGCCTGATATCAGGGAAGAAATTTCTTATTCAGCCTCTATTGCAGGAAGCCTTTGCCTAGGTCTTAGAAGAAACAAGTCACATCGAGCTTGGAGTCTAACAGACCCAAGTTCATGTCCCAGCTCCACCCCTTCCCAGCAGCTGCCTGAGTCTCGACTTTTTGTGAAGTGTTACAAGAATACCTTTCCTGCTTGCCTCATGAGATCTTGGTGGGGAAAAATGAGATGAGGTCCAGCCCGTGGCTTTGGGACCCACAACAGACCCTCTGTGACAACTACAGTTGCTCCTATGTGTCAGACCAGGTGCTGGGCACCAGGAGGGAAGACCTGGTTCCTCCTCTCAGAGCACCTAGGGTGTCAGGGGACAGTCCAGGATGGAGGGACAGGCACCAGAACAGAAACCTGTACGGCACAGAGGGTGGGACATGATCACCTCTTCTGGAGCTGACCAAGTCATGGAATTACTAAACAATGAGGAGGGATAACCTCTGATCTTAAGCAACTCCAAGTATACTTCTAGATGCCAAACAAGCCTATTTCAAACAACATACAAACAGCATAAGGAGGAAATGCGTAGCCTAGGTTCAGTCCTGGTCCCCTCACTTCCTAGCTGAGTAAGCATGGCCAAGATGAGTATCTGACCATTTGAGCCCCTCTCTTCTTCTGTATCACAAAGGGAGGCGTGCATGCCTTACAAGTCTTACCCAGACACAGTCTTACCCAGGCACAGATTCCATGTCAGCCCCTTCCCTGGGTCAGGCCATGTTCTGTTTGCTGGGGATGTGACAGGGAGCTAACCAGGCCAGGCTGCTCCCCCTTCACTCTTTAGAGGTGAGAGTCCAGGACAGTCACTCAACACAGTGCCCGTGCAGTGCAGCCCATAAATGCTTGTTCCCACCTTGGTGTGACCACTATCATTTTTCTTCATTGGAAGATAACTGCTTTACAATGTTGTATTGGTTTCTGTCGTACAACATCATGAATCAGTCAGAACTGTATATGTGCATATATATGGGCTTCCCAGGTGGTACTAGTGACCAGAGTGTTGGCGGTGATGCTCTGGGATGCTAATGAGTGGTTTTCTCTTGTCTCTTTCAGCTCACAGCCCCTCACTTCCCCGTGGTGGTTAAGCTGGGACATGCCCACGCCGGAATGGGAAAGGTATGAGAAGAAACTCTTCCTTACATTAATACTCAACGCGGCTCCCCCGAACCACCTGCTCCCCTCTCTCTGTATCCCCCGACACCCCCGTCTTAGCCCATCCTCCCAGAACAGAGTGTTAGAGGAACCCCACATTCACTCCCTCCCCCCTAATAACGCACCTTCCTCCAAGCTCTCATGGGTCACCTCTCCAGCTCGGGCCATACTTGCCAAACCCTCCCTGACTAATCAGTTCCCATGATTGTAGATTCAGAGAAATGGATGTACAGCACTTTGTAGATGGTTCTTATCATCTCCACAGCTGTGTGTAAGCACATGTCTTTCTTATCTCTTTATCACCTGCAGAGTTAGCACCTAGAAGGTGGTGAATGCATATGGCTCCATGGAGGAAGCCCCTGGAGTCAGTCAGTTTCCACAAAAGTCAAAAACATATCTTACACAGTCAGAGCTGACACTGTTACAGAACCAAACCTGGGTCCACTTGCCCGCACGCTATAAAGCCAGTCTACTGACCCCAGGTTGTGGTGAAAGAGAGTGCAGCATTTATTGTCAAGGAAGACTGGGGGCTCCTGCTTTAAAACCTCGAACTTCCCAAAGGGTTTCAGCTGAGCATTCTTAAAGGCCAGGTAAGGGAGGGGGTCTCAGGGTATGTGATCAGTTTGTACAATTCTCTGATTGGTTGATGATGAGATCATAGAGTGGTTAATATGATCAATCCTTAGGCGCCAGTAGGTCTGGAAACTCATGATCATCAAGTAATTTTAATTTCTTCCATTCGGTGATGGTTTTAGCATCTGCAAAAAACAACTCAGGAAGTGTGGGTAGGATACTATTATCTAAATACTTCAGAGAGGAACTACAGCAGAAGATATGGGGGCGGGGTCTGTTCCAGGAAGGCCCAAGAGATTCCTGCTCTGTTATAACATATTGTAACAAACTACTGGTCAGATTTTTGCAGTTTCAAGTATAGAAACACAACTCAAGTTAGAGTGCAAAAGACAATTCATTGGTTCAAGCATCAGAAAGTCTCAGATAATTCTTGATAGATTCAGGCAGAGCTGGATCCAGGAGCTCAAATGATATTGGAGCTCTTGGCCCTGTTTATCTCTACCTGGTGTTTTCTTCAGATGATTGAGTTAGACAGCTGTGGGTGGCCCACTCTGGTCCCTAAGCTCAATATCACAGAGAAAGAAAGACCCTGTCTCTTTCTGGTGCCTCTCTATAAATCTCATGAAGGTATATTGATCAGTGCCTGCACTTCTAGAGATTTACTCCTAAATAAGGGGGATGGGGATGGGGAAGTTGGGGGCGGGGCCACAACAGGCTACCTCTCAAGCTTTTGGCCCAGACAGGACCATGTGAGAACAGGTAGATTTCAGTGCCTGCCATCCCCATTGGAGGAACCTGAGCCCACACAGGAGGCTCAGCACAGCTGTGAGCCAGCAGGGGCCAGTAGCAGCCTTGCTTTGTGCAGGTACAGTCCAACCACGAATAACCCTGCACCCTGCACTTGTGTTCTTCCCATTCCTCCCATGCCATATGCCTTCTGTGGAACCTCTTCCCACCTAAACTCCATCCCCTTCAAGCAGCGAAGGATGGAAGGGGTCGGACAGGTCAGGGTGTGACCTCGGCTCTGACTTTTATGTTAACTGGAGCAAGTTGCCATCTGACTTCTTTTGGCCTCCTCATCTGGCAAATGATGATACTTCTTATAAACATCTTTAAAATGAATCCTTATCAGTTATGTCACAGTAAAACTGGAAGAAAAAAGTTTAAAAAGTTTTTAAAGCCCTCCCTCCCTCCTTCTTCTCCCTAAAAAGTACACATTGTGAGGGCAGAGCTCTTACCTGTTTGCTCCCTACGTACCCACTGCTCAGAATGGCCCCGGGTGCACCCAAGCCCCTCAGTTTGCTGGTTGGTTGGCTGACTCCCTTTTCACCCTAAGTCGGTTTCCCACTGCCTGTTCTCCCTACCTCTCCTCCATCCCCTGTCATCTGACTACAGCTCCCTGCCCTCCTAAGGCTGCCCTCCCCGTGGTCCTCAACGACCCTCTGCTGCTAATTCAGCGGTCATATCTCCGTCCATATCTGAACTGACCTCTCTACATCATTTGAAGCTGCTGGTCCTCCTTTCTGCCCGGAGATTCATGCCCCTCTCCTGGATCTCTGGCTCTCTCTCGGATCGCTCCTTCACCGTCTCCTTCCAGAGCTCTCCTTCCTGCTCCATCTTTAGCCTCGTCTGTTCCATCAGCACACAATATCTGAGCCCTCGGCTACTATCTCCACTGCAGCTCCCATCTCCACGCCAGCAGCCCTCCGGTCGCACGTGCTGCGCCGCGCGTCGGGCTCTTCTACCCAGCTACCTCCTCTGCGTCTCCACTGGTCCCCCCAGGAAACCTCAGACTCTCCAAGTCCCAGACCACACCCATTTTCTTTTCCGAGAGCCCACTTTCCCTTCTGGTCCTCATCCGCCTCCTCTTCCGGGGACCCTCTTTACAACAGGAGTCACCGGTCCCTCCGTTGTCTTCAAACAGAAGTCCGGGAATCATCTCCCCTCCTCCGTGTCCACGTGGCCGTCATGTCCTGTCACTTGCCCTTTATTAGTGTTTCTCAAAAATGTCCTTTTCTTCTTGCCCATTGCCACCATCTTGGACAGCTTTGGTAAAGCTAGAAGGTTCCCAAGAATTAAATTCCGTTTCTAAAGCTTAAAATAATCCCAGACAGGAAATAAAAAGAAGGAAATACTTAAAGAGACTGACGCAATGTCGGAGGAGGGGATGCCTCCCAGAGATGCAGGCCCAAGAGGAACTCCCAGAACATGGAAGGGAGGACTCATCTCCAAGGATGAGAAGTGTCACTGGCTGGAATAAACTGAGGTTTGCAAAAAATGCTGAGATCAAGGGAAAAGGGCTTTTCTCCTCCTGTTTGGAATGAGAAAAGTATCAGGAACGGTCTGGACATGCCAACTGAGCAGATGATGTCATATTCATGGCTAAAGAGGAGAAAAACAGGACGGTACCTTCTACAGGACTTTCACCTTCTCTCCAGAAGAAAGATTGTCTGCCTGGAGAGAAGCAAGGAGAACATTTCCAGGAAGAAATTGGTGAAGAGGCTGTGAATTAACTCAGTCTTTCTGGAAATTCACCCAGGATCCCATGATTGAAATTCCTTACCCTCCTCAAGTCTGTTTTTCTCCTTCGTTTGTATTGATCGGTGCCTACTCTCTGCTGACAATAAGAGGATGAATAGGACTCAGTCCTTGCTCTCAGAAAATGAGGCAATTGCGGAGATAAGTAAGTATAACACATGCCAAGGATCTGCTGGAAGGCTGTGCAGGGAGTACAGAGATGACTGAAGGAAGGAGCTTAATTCCACCTGCAGGGTGGAAGGATGAAAAGAGGTTCCACATCAAGGAAACCACAGGGTGTGGTGTGCCTGGAGATCTAAGGAATTCTAACAAACAAGAAAGACTCCAAGTCAAGAGATGGACCCTCTTATACTAAAACAAAGAATAGTGGATGCCACAGGGCCGAGAGATCAAAATAGAGTGAAGTGCTGTGCAGCTTGAGGAGCACTTAGATAGTTAGGAGGCAATCAGGTGGCGCAACAGGAGTTCTCAAGAAACCAGAAAGGCCAGACCAATGGTTCTTAAGGGGGTGAGGGAGGGTAGTCTTCCCCGGGGGAGCATTGGTTATGTCTGGAGGCAGTTTTGATTGTCACAACTGGGGATGAGGGGGATGCTAGTGACACCTGGCATCTACGCTGCAGAAACCAAAGATGCTGCTGAACACCCTGAAATGCCTAAGACTGCACCACCACCACCCCCACCACAACAGAGAATTATCCAGTCCAAGATGTCAATAGCATCAAAGTTGAGAAACCCGGGACGAAACTAATTTCGTTTCCTTTGTTGAAAGTTTTACCAGATTAGAAATCAAAGGAAGTAGTGGTTATTATGGACTTCCCCGGTGGCTCAGACGGTAAAGAATCTGCCTGTAATGCGGGATACCTGGGTTCAACCCCTGGGTTGGGAAGATCCCTGGAGGAGGACATGGCAACCCACTCCAGTATTCTTGCCTGGAGAAGCCCCATGGACAGAGGAGCCTGGCGGGCTGCAGTCCACGGGGTCGCCAAGAGTCAGACAGGACTGAGAGACTAAGCATGCACAGTGGTTACTGTAGAGTTCACCAGTCTGCTCCGGAGGATTGTGATTCATCAGGATGCTAAAGGCTATTTTTGTCAATTATGAAAATTCCATGTAAAGTAGATTTCTAGTGCAAAACTTCTCAGATTCATTAAGTTTGCTCATATACCTCCTGGGGGTAGAAGAACATAAAAACTTGTGCAGAATTTTCCAGATTTACAGGACCCAAGAAACGTTTGACCAGTTTTTGAGATGCATGTCCTTTCATTAACTTGTAAAAACTCTTTACACATTATCAGCATTCATCCTGTGTCATACTTTGCAAAGATTTTTCTCCATTTGACAGCTACATGTCCATTTTATTATTCAGCTTTTAATCATTTTAAAGGTGTTTTTTTTTTTTAAATTGTAGTCATGTGTTTCCATCTTTGGGAGTCAGTTTCTTATAGTGACTGAAGTGGTGATTTGAATCTACTTTTTAGTTATGAGACCTTAAGTTAAGTTACTACCCTAGTATTATCTTATGTAAAAAGAGGATAATAATAGTATCAACCTAATAAACTGGTTGTGAGGATTAAGAGACACTATGTATGTCAAACATATAGCTCAGTGCTTGGAACGCAGTAGATACTCGAGAAGTATTAGCCGTCATTATTACTAAGAGTATTTGGTTCTGCTTTCAGAACCCAAAATCCAGCTGAAGTCAATAAGGGAGTTATGACTAAACAGCATCCTCTGTCAGAAACCGTTTCATCTGGCTACAAGTTCAATATGAATCAGATTGTTCAGGAGTTGCCAAAAGCTCTAATCCATAAACACCAATAAACAGGTGAAAATGGGCTCAACTGTGTTCATCA